GTGCACGCGGACCCCGCCAACGCCCGTTGGGTGCCTTCGGTGTAGGCCGTGCGCCCGCAAGCAAGGCAGACAAGGCCTTGGCTGTCCTGGGACCGAGGGTGGGGGCACCAGTGCAAGTCGTGCTGGATGATGGTCAGCTTGGGCGGGGCTGGGGGCGGCCTGGGCATCGCCGCCTCGTTCGAGTCCCAGAGGCCCGATGAGTACACCTGCACGCAGGCCCACACGTGAAACTCCACGACGCTGAGAACGTGCTGGAGCCTGAGCTCGAGGTTCCGCGCGAGCCCTGGGGCCAGCCGGACCTGCCACATGGCCACCGACGCGAACCAGTCTGCCCAAGCATTGCCGATCCAGTCTATGAGCGGCACTCCACGGTGGAGCGCCTCCTCGGCTGTGAGGTGAGAGGGGACCCGGCGAAAGTCGGGCGCCGCGGCGTCGGCGCGCCGCGCGATGGCGCAGCGCAGCCGTCGCCAAAGCTGCGCATGGGTGCCGCGCGAGGAAGCGTCCCTGGCGCTCCAGCGCAGAGGAGGAGGAGGAGGAGAAGGAGGAGGAGGAGGAGGAGGAGGAGGAGGAGGAGGAGGAGGAGGGAGGAGGGAGGAGGAGGAGGAGAGGAGGAGAGGAGGAAGGAGGAGGAGGAGGAGGAGGAGGAGGAGGAGGAGGAGGAGGAGAGGAGGAGGAGGAGGAGGTGGAGGAGGAGGGGGAGGAGGAGGGAGGAGGAGGAGGGAGGGAGGAGGGAGGAGGGGAGGGAGGGAGGAGGAGGGGAGGAGGAGGGAGGGAGGAGGAGGAGGAGGGAGGATGGGGCCAACTGGCAGTCACCGACGTCGTCGGCACCACAGGGCAGCGGGGCTGGCCGGGGGGATGGTGTCTCGGAGGAGGGCCCCGTCGAGGCAACGGCGGCCCTCCCCGGCGCTCTCCGTTCCTTTTCGGGGCCTCTCCTGGGGGCTTCCCGCCGCCAGGGATCCCGCGAAAGCGTCTCCCAACCTTCAGGAGGGAAAACACACACAGGCACAAGTAGTCGTCGATTCCCAGGAAAATCGGAAAATATGGGAAGCGGGGGACAGACGAGAATCCTCCAAACATTGAACAGTATGGGGAATCCTGGGATTCGTGTGCATTTCTCCGTAAGGGCTTCGCCCCCTGCCGCCGGCCCCCTCTCTCGGATAATGCGCTATGCAAGAGCTATGTCCTGAGGCCTGGGCGCTGTCGTGAAGCAGTATCGGAACTTCATGCGAGGCCGACTCGTCATGAGCAAAACCAATAGATGACCAGAGGGGTTACCACACCTGGCGATTGGTAAGACGTCGTGACCCTGCCGATCTGCATGAGGGGTGCCGCCGAATTTCAGAAATGTGGCAAATCTCCTGTGTTTTTGGACCCTGACCCCGCCGATCTGCGTGAGGGGTGCCACCGAATGTCAGAAATGTGGCAAATCCAATTTGTTTTTGGACCCTGATCCCGCCGATCTGCATGAGGGTGCCACCGAATGTCAGAAATGTGGCAAATCCTATGTGTTTTTGCACCCTGATTCCGTCGATCTGCGTGAGTGGTGCCACCGAATATCAGAAATGTGGCAAATCCTATGTGTTTTTGGATCCTGACGCCGCCGATATGCGTGAGTGGCCGCCGAATGTCAGAAATGTAGCAAATCCCATATGTTTTTGGGCCCCAACCCCGCCGATCTGCGTGAGAGGTGAACCAATTTTTGAACATGTGGCATATCCCATATGTTTTTGGACCCTGACCTCGCCGATCTGCGTGAGGGGTGCCACCGAATTTTAGAAATATAACAAATCCTTGGTGTTTTGGGCCTTGACCCCGTCGATCTGCATGAGGGGTGCCACCGAATTTCAGAAATGTAGCAAATCCCTTATGTTTTTGGACCCTGACCCCGCCGATCTGCGTGAGTGGTGCCACCGAATTTCAGAAATGTGGCAAATCCTATGTGTTTTTGCACCCTAACACCGGCGATCTGCGTGAGGGGTGCCGCCGAACGTCAGAAATGTAGCAAATCCTATGTGTTTTTGGACCCTGATCCCGCCGATCTGCGTGAGGGGTGTCAATTTTTACCCCCAGAAATTCTGAGAACCCTCCCAGGGCGTGGTAAAATGTCCGTTTTGGGCCTCCCCCCTTCGCGCGGTCCATCAACAAGGAGCAGTAAGCAGCAAGAAGTCAACAAGGAACAGTAAGCAGAAAGAAGCAGAATTGTAACAGTGGAAACTGGAAGCTGCAACTGGTACAGGGACCTGCGAAGCTTGGCCCTACAGCCTGGTGGCCCCACAAGGGGGCCGGCGGATTTGTGCGTCCCTGGGCCCCTTCAAACCTTGCAAAGATGGCAAAGGATTCCCACCAGCCTCCCAAACGACCCCCGAGCACTTCCAGAGCGCTCTCCCAATGCCTCCCCCCTCCTTTCCACAACACACTCGAAGCCCTGGGACTCTGCCGTGGGACTTTGCCGGGCGCCCCGGACCACCTTTCAGACTCCCTGGAGCCTCTGAGAGCACATTTGGGCCAGGCTGGGGAGCCGCCGTTGTCACAGCTGGCCCTCCTCCCGCCTCGGCCCCGCGCTGCCGACGTGCCGACGAGGCTGACAGCAACAGGTGGTCCCAAGGCAGCCCCTGCTGGCCCAGACTGGTCGCATGGGATTTCCGTGTGGACGATGCTGCGGCGACGGCGACGACGGCGGACGGCAGCCGTGACGACGGCGACGGCGACGGCGACGACGACGAGGACGACGACGACGACGACGACGACGACGACGACGACGACGACGACGACGACGACGACGACGACGACGACGACGACGACGACGACGACGACGACGACGACGACGGCGGCGGCGACGACGACGACGACGACGACGACCACGGCGGCGACGGCGGGCCCGTGTGCCGACCATGGCGGAGGATCCACGATGTGGGATGTTTTTGGTGGCTCTTGGGGCTCCTGGCCCCGCCTTCTTGCCCGCTCCCGCCCGCTCGCCCGTTCGCTTGCCCCCTGCAGTCGTCTCGCCCTCGCCTGTCGACGATGCTGGCAGCTGCCGCTGGCGGCGGCGGCGACGACGGAGGAGGATCCACGCTAAGGGATGCTTTTGGTTGCTTTGGGGCTTCCCGGCCCCGCCTTCTTGCCCGCTCGCCCGCTCGCCTGCCGGCCTGCGCTCGGAGTGCTCCCCCGGGCCTCCCGGAGCTCCCGGCCGAGTCTTGCAGGCGGGCCCGTGGCTGCGAGAAGGGCGCCCAGATGCTCCCCGGAGGCAAATGGGCCCGACGGGGGGCCCAACCCTTAGCAGCCTCATGCAACGCTGGTGCGGTGCACAGTCCGTGTGAGGGACGTGCCGAAGTCGGTGGGGGGAGGCGCACACGAGCTTTCCCAAGGGGGCCGTAGGTGGAGCTCCCTAGGGGGCACGACACGTGTGAGGAGTACGCCGAAATGCTCGGGGAAACGCATCTCATGCAAATTTTTCCAGTCCAGTAGGTGGGGCTCGTGTTAGGGGTGTGCCGAGACTGGCGTAGGTACGCATGCAAGGTTCCCTCATTGAAGCTGCAGGTGGATTTCACTATAGCTAGGGGCACGGTCCTTGTGGGAGGTGTGTTGAACTGGGCGACGCCGCCACGCGGACCCTTAGACCGGGTTCGTAGGTGGAGCTCTCTGTGGGGGCACGCTCCTTGCGAGTGCCCGAAGTGGGCGGCGCCGCCATGCGGACCCTCTCGCTGGGGCCGACGGTGGAGCTCCCCCATGGGGCCACGAAGCGCGAGAGGAGTGCGCCGATGTGAGGCCACGATCCTCGTGGGGTGTGTGCCGAAATGGGGGCGGCAGTGCCTTCTCCTCCCCCCCTTTCCTCTTTTTCCTCATTCGCAAAAGTACTAAACTTATCTCTTCTCTCCTCTCCCCTGATGCTTTCTTTTTTCCCCCCGCCTAGCCTGTTTATGTAAATGTCTGTCTGTATGTCTGCCTGCCTGCCTGCCTGCCTGCCTGCCTGCCTGCCTGTCTGTCTGTCTGTCTGTCTGTCTGTCTGTCTGTCTGTCTGTCTGTCTCTCTGTATGTACGTATGCATGCATGCATGCGTGCATGCATGTGTGTATGTCTGTCTGTCTGTCTGTCTGTCTGCCTGTCTGTCTGTCTGTCTGCCTGCCTGCCTGCCTGCCTGCCTGCCTGCCTGCCTGCCTGCCTGTAGGTAGGTAGGTAGGTAGGTATGTATGTTTGTATGTATGTATGTATGTATGTATGTATGTATGTATGTATGCATGCATGCATGCATGTATGTATGTATGCATGTATGTATGTATGTATGTATGTGTGTGTGTATGTATGTATGTATGTATGTATGTATGTATGTATGTATGTATGTATGTATGTATTAATGTATGTATGTATGTATGTATGTATGTATGTATGTATGGATGTATGCATGTAAGTATGCATGTATGTACGTATGTATGTATGTATGTGTGCACGGATGTATGCATGAATTTATATATGTCTGCCTGTCTGTCTGTCTGTCTGTCTGTCTGTCTGTCTGTCTGTCTGTCTGCCTGTCTGTCTGTCTGTCTGTCTGTCTGTATGTGTGTATGTACGTATGTATGTATGTGTATGTATGTATGTATGTATGCATGCATGCATGCATGCATGCATGCATGCATGCATGCATGCATGTATGTATGTATGTATGTATGTATGTATGTATGTATGTATGTATGTATGTATGTATGTAAATATGTGTGTGTATTGGAGTCAGCACCGCCCCGACGGTAGGAGGTAGGAGCGGGCCTATCACGGCGCCGGTGATTCCACAGCCTTTTCAGGTGCGAGCCAGGCTCACTGCCTTGCCCGCTGCGCGCGCGCGGGGCGCGGGCGCGGGGGTCCCACGCCAGCTGTGGCCCCTAGGCAATCTCGCCTGGGAGCCCAAATACCTACCGGCCTCCTGAGCCGAGCTATCCCGGTTACCGGCCCGTGGGCCGAGTTTCGTGGGGCGGCCCGCACTCCCGCTGAGCCCGTGGCTGCTCTGCGGGATGCCGCCCCCAGTCGGGCCATGGTTCGACGCCGTGGCCGACCCAGACTTCTTCGATCACTTCGAGCTCCGCTCCGGCCAGATCGTGGAGGTCCAGTGCTCGGACGACGCGGGCGACGAGCAGGGCACGATGCTGCTCGCGGTGACTAGCACGGCTACCGCCTCGGCGAGGGGTCGATGGCTCGAGGCCGTGTACATTGCCGCGAGCGACGAGTACTACGACTGGTACATGCGGGAGTCGGCGGACAAGCCGCCCAGCCCAGCCTGGTACCACCTCTGCCGAGGTGAGGCGGCCACCTGCCAGAGCGTCAAGGCTGGTGCCGATTACGCTCTGCATTTCGCCCGTGTCAGGGCGGTCCCCAGGGCGGCGCTGGCCACGGGTGCGATCGGTTGGGCTGGTAGGGGTGTTGCCGCCGAGCGTGTGGAGGAGTACCTCGGCAACCTTGATGGGGGGCGCCGGGAGGCTTACCCGCCTGGGGGAGTCCCCGCAGGCGGAGACCGCGGCGAGTTCTTCGACGCAGAGCTTGTCGAGCAGCCGCGGCAGCAGCGGCAGCCAGAGGGATCTCCCTCCCGCGATGCGGCTGCGGCAGCTCCTGTCGCAGACCAGCTTGCGAATCTACGTCGTGACCTTGCTGATGAGCCTCGCGGGAGGAGGCGCGAACGCTCGGGTCACCCTCGGAGGGGCCGAGGTGGCCCTAGCAGGCCTGGCCTGTTCGGGGGGACTGCCCGGTCCCCGAGGCGCAGTGGTCGTGCTGCCGGGGGCCGCTCTGCTGGAGGTGGGGACGCTGACCAAGCTGGAGGTGCGTCGGCGCCGCTGCTTGGGGATGCGCCCGAGGGTCGGCGCGCCCGTTCCCCTACCCCCCGGCACGCTCGCGACCGCGACCGCGACCGCTCCCGCAGCCGAGTGGGCCGCGAACGTCGTCGCCGTCGAGGCGGCGACCGGGGCCCCTACGGTGCTGGCCCGTTGGCGGCGTTCTCCTCTTCGGAGTCGCGCTCACGTTCGAGGCGGAGGCGTCGTTCACACTCAGGGTCGAGGCCGGGTTTTCGCGAGGCCCCCTCCTCCGCCAACGGGAGCAAGCAGCTCCAGTTGGTGTCCTATTCCCAGCGTCATCCAGGACGGCTGGCCGCACGGCTCCTGCTCAAGATGGCAGTCGGTGTCAGCAGGGAGGGGGGGGCCGTGTACGCCCAGCTGGGCAGCCCGGGCGATCTGAATCAGACGCCTCCGGCAGCGACATCGTACATCTTGACGGTGATGGTTCCGACCCTGGCCACGCGCATGGCGCTTTGCGACCGGAGGGAGTTGCGGACGCTGTCCCTCATCCTGGCCCTCCTGGCGACGCAGAGGCCCGAGGAGGCCGCCGACGTTGTGGCCCAGAGGATCAAGGCGATCGACAAGGCGCTGCACGACGGCGCTTGGACGCACGCGCAGCTCCTCGAGCTCATACCCGAGGAAGGGGCCCCCCTCCTGGAGCGCGACGAGGCCGTCGCCGTCGCGAGGGAGGCGCGGACCGACCAGGAGATCGTGGGTGTGCAGCCGTGGCGCCGGGGCCACGACGAGAACGCAGCCTCCCAGAAGGGGAAGAAGGGTGGCGGCAAGACCAAGAGCGGAAAGGGCGGCAAAGGGAAGCCTCCCGACGGCGGCTGACCGCTGCCCCTCGGGAGGCGCCGTGGCGCCGCTCCCCGCCCACAGCAGTCGCCAGACCGCCCCACTCACGGGTTGGATCCCGCGATGCGCGGTCCCCCAGCGGCGGAGCGTGCAGCGGGCGCGAGGCTGCCGTTTTGAAGCCTGCGGGAAGCCCCTCGCTGGGTGGACGCCGGCGTGTCGTGCGACTCTGCGACGCGCGGGCGCCGTCAGAGGAGCCAGCGGCTTCCTTCGAGCCTACGTCGGGCTCAGAGCCGCGTGGGGGCCTGGAGTCGCCAGAACGCCCGATGCTTGCTATTTACCGGGAGGGCTCGCTCCCGAGACCTTCGCCGCCGCCGCGCAAGGGCCACATGACCAGGGAGAGCTGGCGGGCAGACCTCGAGGTGGCCCTCGCCTCTCGGCCAGGGCTCTTCGATGCCTTCATCTGGCTGGATGCGCACTGGGACGAGCTCGCGACTCCCTTGGGCGACCTGCCACGTTCATTAGGGCGCGCTGCACCACCCTCTGCCCGAGGGTCTCGCGGAGCCTCCCAAGACATCCTGCCGATTGCGGTTGAGGCCGTCCGGGAGCTCTCGGCCGAGAAGGTCTTGGGCCATGGGCTCGAGGAGGCATCCCTAGGGCGTTGGAGCGGCGGCCTCCGCCAGCGGGTCTGCTGTATTTTGTCCGCCCTCAACTTCCATTATCTCGGAGCGGGCGCTGAGCCACCTCGGAAGGGCCCGGCACTGAGGCTGTCGCAGCCTCAACTCAGGCTGGTCCGGCATGTTGCGATGGCTGTCGTCGCATTCGTGTCCAACCAGCCCGACGCCGCTGGGCAGGCACCGTCGCTGAAGGCCCTCAGGAAGAAGCTCACGACGCTTCCAGTGGACTACGGGGCCTCGGGCCTGGTTGTCAAGATGGAGGCGCTCACGCCAAGGAGGGTCATCCCAGCATGGCCGGCAGCGGGGTCCGCGGCAATCCAGCCCGTTACCAAGTTCCTCGAGGGCGAGGTGCTTGAGAAGGTCATGGATCCCAGCTCGAACCTCCTGGACCGGGCCTTTTGGCCCGCGGCAACTAGGAAGAGTTACGTCCGTGCTTCTGACGGGGCCTGGGCAGACTTGGTGGCCGCGGCATTCCAAAGGGGCATTATGAAACCAGTGAGGGAGGAGGATGTGTTCCGCGGCGTCGACGGCCAGCCTGTGTACAACGGGGCCGGCGGCGTCGAGAAGATCAAGTACAAGGACGGAGTGCGACAGGAACTCCTCCGCTTCATCAGCATCTTTTGCCCCATCAGCGACTACCTGACCCGCATCGCGGGGGGCGACGACAAGTTGCCGTACGTCGGGCAGGTCACCCTCCTTCATTTGGAGGAGGGAGAAGAGGTTCTCATCGACTCCGAGGACTTCGAGAGCTGCTTCAACCTTTTCACTCTGCCCGACTCGTGGCTCGGGTACTTCAGCTACGAGAAAGTTGTACCTGGCAGCGCTATGGGCCTGCCAGAGAAAGAGTGGGTGCGCCCCGCCTTGTGCGTCGTGCCCATGGGTTGGAACAGTGCCGTCGCCATCATGCAGTCGGTTGTCCGACGTCTTGTGTTCGGGCTCGCGCGGGTCTCCCCCGCCACCGAGGTGCCGAAGGGCAGGGACCTACCCCCGCAGGACGACTTGTCCATCCTTTACCTCGACTCGCACGACCGACTCCGGGTTGTCGACCGGGCTCTCGCCGAGGCCCAGATGGGGGAGGAGACAGACGAGCACGCCCGTTTCGTCAACGTGCGCTCCGAGCTCGGCCCCCCGCTGAACACGGGAAAATCTTTGATCGGGGCGACGGCGGCATCCCTTCAAGGGGGCTTTTTGGACAGCTCCCGCGGGACCTTCGGGCTCCAGCCCTCGAAGGGGGCCGACTTGGTCTGGCTGGGCCTGGCGCTGCTGGCCCAGCCTCGGTGGAGCGTGCGAGCGCTCCGGCACTGGGCTGGGAAGGCTTGCTTCGCGTCGGTGTTTCGGAGGCCGCTCTACGCGGTGCTGCAGGAGGTGTTCTGGCAGACCAAGTTGCTGGAGGCTGGGGCGGCGGTGCCGAAGGACGACGCGTTCGACGAGGTCCTGTCTTTCACCATCTTCGTCCCGCTCGCCTTCGCCAACATGCGCGCCGCGCTCGATGGGATTGTCTCGTGCTCGGACGCGTCGCTCACAGGCGGCGGAGTTGCGGTGGCGATGTCGTTCCGGCCGTTCGTTACCGGGGGTTCGGCTTGCCAGCCCAGCTACCGCCAGTCCGGCGAGAGCCCTATACGGGCCCCTTGCGGCGCCCAGATCGGCGACCCCCGCAGTGCGGCTGACCACCGAGAGAACTGCGGGAAGTGCGGGCGCTGCCCGTGTTTCGCAGAGCGGTTCTCTTGCCCTCGTGCCCCGCTGACGCAGGCAGTGGCGCAGTGGGGCATTCCTGTGCAGAGGCCCTTCGACGACGCTATGGGCCGCGATTTCTTTTCCCAGGAGGGTAAGAAGATTTTGACCACCGCGCAGGCCGAGACGGCGTTTGCCTGGGAGCATTTTGCTCCCGAGTGGCGCTTCTTGTCGACGTCTCCTTGGCCTGGCCAGGTGCGGAACGCCAGGCGCATCATGGGGATCCCCGGTCTCCCGCGCACTCTCGCGTTCGAGGTGCGGCGATCCAGCGCTATGTGCAAGAAGGCCCTCGCTTGTGCCTTGGAGCGCCACGGGCAGGGGAAGTATTGGTGCATCGAGAACCCGTGCGACAGCTGGCTCTGGGACTTCGCGCAGGCCAAGGAGCTAGAGGAGAAGGAGGGAGTATTTTACTCTGAGCTCTCCTACTGTTGCTTCGGCGGCGCGCGGAGGGCCACCTGCTTCGCTCACAACTGCCGTGAGCTCCATGCCATGCTCCATCGCGACGGGCCCTGCTCCTGCACCGCGGTGCCGCCTAAGGACCCGCGCCACTTCTACGAGTGCCCGGGCGCGCTGTGCCAGAGGTACGCGGAGGTCGTCGCTGGCGTGCTGTCGCGACCCGCGGCGCCACCCCGGGAGGTGGACCCTGCGAGGCGGGAGGAGGCACTGCGTGCCCGGCTCGCCCGAGCAGGGAAGATGTTCGTCGAAAAGGGCGTCTCGGAGCGCGTGGTCGCGTCCGTGCGTGAGCTCGAGGCTACCACGGTCCCGGGCCAGGAGATCGAACATCTGAAGCTCATGCTCCGCAAGTGCGACCACCGGGGCACTGACGTGAGGCTCATCGTCGACGATCCTTTCCATTCGTCCCCTGCTAGGGCGCCGTGCCCCGCTCTTGAGTGCGAGTGGAAGACCGTGCTGTCATGGCGATGGCAGCACGAGCAGCGCATCAACATCCTTGAGGCGCGCGCGGCGGTGACCTGGTTGAGGCGGCGTGCCAATTCAATAATGTACCACTCCCGGCGCTACCTGCACATCCTGGACTCGCTGGTCGTGACGGGTGTGCTCACCAAAGGCCGTTCTTCTTCTAAGCGGCTGAACCGCGTGTGCCGCAAACACATGGCGGTATCACTTGCATGCGATAATTACCCTTTTTATGCCTGGGCGATTTCTGCGTGGAACTTTAGCGACTTTGCCTCGAGGAATGCCGGTGCTTTGTCAGCAGGGCCGTCGCGCCCGTAATCCTGGTGGGCCGGTTCGCCGGCACCTGCGCTATGTCGGCATCGCTCCACGCACGTTCCAGGTATACCGCCGAGCTGTCAACGCCTTCTTCTTTTTCTTGCAAGCCAGATCCCTCGCCCTGCCCACGTCGTTGTCGGAGCTCGATCACATTGTGTCTGAGTTTATCAACGAGTGTTGGCAGGAAGGTGAGCCCATCGGCTTCTGCGGCCACCTCCTGAGCGGCCTGTAGCGCTTCTTCCCGCAATGCAAGCACCACCTCAACACGAGTTGGCTGTTCTACAACAGTTGGAATTCGACAGTCGTGCCCACTAGAGCCACGCCGTTCCCGAAGCATATTGTGGCTGCTCTGGCCTCCGCTGCGGCCCAGGCGGGGGATTTGAGGTTGGCCGCAGGGCTTCTGGTTGGGTTTACTGCATTTCTTCGGACTACCGAGCTTTTGTCGCTCGAGAAACGCCATGTCCGGCTCTTCCCTGAATCCAACACGGTCTTCATAGCATTGGAGTCGACCAAGACTGCCGGGAGAAAGAGGGCCCGGGAGGCGGTGCACTTCGTGGACCGCGTCATTCTGACATTGCTGCAGCGGGCCATGTGCGACCTTTCTGACGACGACCCCCTCGTCCGCCAGAGGGGAGGCGCCTTTTCGAGGGCATTCCAAGCTCTCCTGAAGTTCACCCGCCTTGAGCACGTAGGGTTCCAGCCGTACTCCCTACGGAGAGGGGGGGCCTCGTGGTACTTCACAAAGGTCCAGAGCATGGACGCGACGATCGTACGAGGCCGATGGCAGAACCCACGAACAGCGCGCATCTACATTGAGGATAGCACGGCCGCATTGGTGCTGCTGCAGTTACCCGCCGAAAGTGCGGAGATTGTTAGGTGCCTCTGCAGGTGGTGGTCCACGTGGTGATGTTCGCCTTCGGCTTCGCTCAGGCAGTGAATGGTTTGGGATTGCCGGCCAGCCATGGGGCGTGTGGTTGTGGTCCTCGGCTACGCCAGTCAGTGGTGCGGGCTGCGAGGCCGGCCTCGCTCGGCAGCGGCTCCGAGGCTTGACCCAAAGTGTCTGCCTAGCCGCGCCTCGCTGCAAGACACTGCTGGTGCAGCGCGCCTGGAAAAGAAGGCGTGCGAGCGATTGGAGTCAGCACCGCCCCGACGGTAGGAGGTAGGAGCGGGCCTATCGCGGCGCCGGTGATTCCACAGCCTTTTCAGGCCTCCTCGACCCCGCCAGCCACCCGTTCCAACACGGGAGTTTTACCGCCTCTCGGAAGGATGCCCGAGGTGAGGGTGCCATATGCTCCACCGCCTCCCCGGCGAGTTACCACCATTTTGGTGAGGGCTGCGAGGCCGGCCTCGCTCGGCAGCGGCTCCGAGGTTTGACCCAAAGTGTCTGCCTAGCCGCGCCTCGCTGCAAGACACTGCTGGTGCAGCGCGCCTGGAAAAGAAGGCGTGCCGATACATATATATATCTCTTATATATATATATCTCTATATATATATATATATATATATCATAGATTTATGTTATGTCTGTTACTTTTATCCGTTAAAAATGGCTAGGTAGGTAGGTAGGTAGGTAGGTTTGTCTGCATTATTGGATGTATATACGTATGTCTGTTTGTATGTATGCATGTAGGTATACTGGTATATCTGCTTCTTTGTGTGTATAGGTATGAATGAATGAATGAATGAATGAATGAATGAATGAACGTATGTATCTGTATATGTATAGCTATCATATATATAGATGTACATATACCTATATTCCCAATCAGAGCTTGCCTCTGTAGGGGTACTAGCGGATCATATGGTTAGGTGCTGGGCTGCCGATTTCGGGTGCCCGGGTGCCCAGGTGCCTGGGTGCACGGGTGCCCGGGTGCCCGGGTGCCCGGTAGTCCTATAGCCATATAGCCCTATATGTTTATAGCCCTATAGCCCTATAGCCCCATAGCCTTAATAACCCTACAGCCCTATATCCTTGTAGCCCTATAGCCCTATAGCCCTATAGCCCTATATCCTTGTAGCCCTATAGCCCTATAGCCCTATAGCCCTATAGTCCTACAGCCTGATAGCCCTATAGCCCTATATCCCTATAGTCCTATAGCCCTATAGCCATACAGCCCTATAGCCCTATAGGGCTATAGCCCTATAGCCTTAAAGAAGTATGATTGGGTTTGTCTCCAGTATCATATTTTATATGTGTCGGCGGTGCCCCGTGGCACGAACCCCCCCCAGTACTACCGGGGGGGTTGGTGCAGGCCGCACCCAGTGCCGCCGAGCCCCCCCCCTGTCCCTTTACCGGGGGGTTTCGCGCAGGCCGCACTGGGGGGGGGGGGTTCGACCTGGACCCCCCCCCCCCTGTGGGAGTGGGGGGGTGGAGTGGGGGGGGTGCGGTTGGTGGCGTGCGGTGCGGGGGGTGGGAGGGCGAGGAGGAGGAGGTTGAAGGAGGAGGAGGAGGAGGAGGAGGAGGAGGAGGAGGGGTTGCGGAGGAGGGGACAAGGGAGGAGGAGAGCGGGAAGGGGAGGAGGATCAGGGAGGATTATGATGAGGAGGAGTGAGGAGGATGAGGAGGTCTGAGGATGTGGCTGCGTCGGTCCCTGGGTTGCTGGGCACGTGCAACTGGAATGCAGAGCTGCACTAAAGGGTGGATCACAAAAGGGAGGTCTGATCGTCGGTTGCAGTGCCCGCAGTAGGGCTGTTCTGGGAATTGGGGTGGTCCTGGGTGGGGTCAAGTCGGAACGGCCGCGTTACAGAAGAGCGGGGTAGGGCGCTAGGGGGGAGTCGTGGTGGGCGTGGGTGAGAGTTTTGTGGGTTGAGGGTTGGGTGGTGTTTAGGGGGTGGGTTGGGGCTTGCGGTGTCTTCATGTTGTGATTCTTTGTGTTAGGGGTGAGGGTTTTTGGAGTGCCCCCGGGGTGCCGGAGGAGGGGCTTGTGTTTTGACTCTTTTATTTTTTTTTCAAGTTTTTTGGTTTGTTTCTTCTTTTTTTTGTTCTTTTTTGTTTGTCTTTTTTTTTTCTTTTTTTCTTTTTTTTTTCCTGGTTTTTATTTTTTTTTATTGTTTTTTTTTTTTCTGTGTTTCTTTATTTTTGTTCTGGCACGTCCTGGGGGCGGTCACGCATTTGGGTTGAGGTTCGTGCGTGCCGAGGGGGTTCGTGCATACCGTGGGGGTTCGTGCTTGGGGAGTCTCGTGCCCGCTACCGGTGGGTGTCGTGCTTTCCAGAGGGTTTTCGTGACGGCTCGCACCGGCGGGGCCGCCGGCTCGAACCCCCCCAGGATGGAGTTTACCGGGGGGGGTCGCTCCGCACCAGGCGCCGCCGACATAATATACATATACATATACATATACATATACATATACATATACATATACATATACACGCATATATATATATATATATATATATATATATATACAGATACACGACTGCATTGGCGCTGCGCGCCATGCACCTTGGTCCATTGAATTTCGCACGCAAGCGGAATGCGTGCGTGCGTACATGCGCGCATGCATGTATACACGCGCACGTGCATGCACGTTCCGTATACATGTCTAGGTGTATACAATCTATTTACATTGTTGTATTTGTTTATACAGCGCACATATGTACATCTGAAGTTATGTGTGTAAGGGTACGAACATGCATATGCAACTCGTACGGGGCATCCTCGGGCATCTTCGCTGCATGCCACGAGACCCTCAACGACTGGGTCACAATGTGAAATGTCATGGGGGCAAAATCAATGAATGTTGGCATTCGGAAACATCGTGGGGGTGTTTTCGGGGCCCTCGTGGGCCGTTTTGGCGCCTTCATGGGCCGTCCTGGGGCCTTCTTGGGCCGTCTTGGGGAGCTTGGGCCCGCTGGAGCCCCCTTTGGACCCATCTTGGGCACTTCTGGGGACCTCCCATGGCCCTTTTGGGTCTGTGCTGGGAGCCTTGGGGGGCCTCTTGGTTCCATTATGGGCTGTCTTGGGGCTCTCGTGGGCGATCGTGGGGCCCGGCTCGGCCGTCTTGAAGCTTTCTTGGGGGCCTTTTGGGGCGTCTTGAGGCGATCTCGGGGGCTTTGAAACCGTCTTGAAGGCTGATGAAATCCGAAAGGCGAATATGCTAAAATTGTAAGTCTTACGATGGGAATGGGACGATTTGTGCTTTGAAGGCCCCTTGGAAAGCTTTTTGGGGTGCCTTGGGGGTCTTTCTGTTGGCATTCGGAAACGTCGTAGGGGTGTTTTCGGGGCCCTCGTGGGCCGTTTTGGCGCCTCCATGGGCCGTCCTGGGGCCTTCTTGGGCCGTCTTGGGGAGCTTGGGCCCGCTGGAGCCCCCTGTGGACCCATCTTGGGCACTTCCGGGGACCTCCCATGGCCCTTTTGGGTCTGTGCTGGGAGCCCTTGGGGGGCCTCTTGGTTCCATTAGAGGCTGTCTTGAAAGCTGATGAAATCCGAAAGGCGAATATGCCAAAATTGTAAGTTTTACGAAGGGGTGAATGGACCGATTTTTGTGCTTTGACGCGCAGGCCCCTTGCGAAAGCTTCAGCTTTTTGGGGTGCCGTTGGGGGTCTTTTGGGCCGTCCTGACGCCATTGGAGTCCCTCTTTGAGCGCTCTTTTGCTGTTCTGGGGCCCTCCCTTGAGCCTTTCTGTGACCGAGCCAGATCGCTCTGGGGTTGCCTGTCCTTTAGGGTTTGCTTTGTGGTGGGTGTTTTTTTTTGTGTTTCTGGGGTGTTTGGCTGTTGTTGTGTTCCTGTGGGCGCTTGTTACAACACCCCCCCGCTTATTTTGTTGGCATGCTTGGCTGCCTGGTAGTCCAGTGATTAGGTTTGGTCGTGTGTGGCTAATGTTTTTTTGGCAAGGCGTTTGTGGAGACCCGGAAAGCCGGGTGACCTTTTCCAAGGACGTCCAAGGGAGCCCGAGAACCCCAGATCCCGGGGATCCAGTTTTTTTTTTGGGGGGGGGGAGGGTTTTCCCTTCCCCCCCCGGGCTCGTAAATATATAGGAAGAGGAATATATGTATATTAACAGGATTGTGCCGAGGTGGATTTCGATTGTGCTTTCCTATTCGGAACGATCTCGGTCCTTCAACAACTAGGTTCCCGGTGCAGCGCTCGCCGCATTTCAGGATAGGCGCTTGGCTCCCGTCGTTCGGATTTGCGCTCTCGCTCCGGCGCGGGCCACAGTTCCGAATCCGATTCGTTTTTCGTCGTTTCCGTCTCCTTTTTTCTTCTCCCGCCTTCCCCTGGTGCTCTTGCTCATCCCTGCTGCGGCTGCTGCTCCTCCTTCCTCGTCGTCCTGCCCATCCTCCTGCTCATCCGCCACCTCTTCCTCCTCGTCCTGATTACGCACCACGCGATGGGGTCATGTTGAAGATCGATATCATCTGGGGCACCCTGGCCAGTGAACAGAACATATTCCAGCGCAGTGCGGAGGGACGGGTGGGAGGGGTAGGATGCCAGATATGGCGCGAGCGCGCCAACCTTGCGCGTCTCCTTTCTCCTCCCTCTGCTTCTTCTTCCTTGCATTATCAGTAATTTCTTCCTCTTCGCCGTGCTCCTCGTGCTCTTCCTCTTCCTCTTCCTCGTCTTTTTCTTATTATTTTTTATTGTTATTCTTATCATTATGATTCCTCTCCTTCTTCTTCCTTGTCTTCTTCTTCTTCGTCTTAATATTATTATTCGTATCATTATTCGTATAATAATCCTTTTTCTTCTTCTTCTCCTTCTTCTTTGTCTTCTTCTTCTTCTTCTTTGCCGACGACGGCGGCGGCGAGAGGCTCGACTACGGCGCCGAGGGGCGGCTGCGCATCGTCTACGAGAGCGCCACGCCGCGGCAGGCCCGCGGAGCGCCGCCGCCCCCCCCGCGCCGCGCTCGGGGGCGCCTCCGCGGCCCGCCCGCGGCGGCGCTCCGCGGGCCGGGCGCGCCGCCCGAGACCGCAGTCGCCGCCCTCGATCCAGGAGGCCCCCCTCTTCCTCCTCCTCCTCCTCCTCCTCCCTCATCCTCCTCTCTCCCCCTTCTCATCTACCCCCTCATCCTCCTCCTCCCCTTCCTTCCTCCTTCTCCTCCTTGACCCCCTCACCCTCCTCCTCCTTGACCCCCATCCTCCTTGTTCTCCTCCTCCCTGTCATCCCGTCCTCCTCCCCGCTCCTCCTCCTCTGTGGACGCCCGAGACGGGTACGGAAAGAAGGGGTGCGATGCCCAACCGCAGTTCTCGTTCATTCTGAGCAGGACTCGCTGTCCGCGCCGCCGCGGCCCGTGTCCATTCGAGACAGGAGGCCGCCTGCCCAACAGCGGCCGTTGCTGATTTGGGACAACATTTGTTGTTCTGTTCGGCATTGTACCCATTCTTTCCGTACCCATTTCGGGCGTCCGAATTCTCGTTGATTCATTGCGTCGTAAAAAAATCAGGGCGGGAGGGTTTTTGGCCATCTTCGGCCCCGGGGGGCCCTCGCCAGGCCCCGGGACCGTCAAACAACGATTCAAGACGAAAGACCGGTCCTGGGGAAAGGGTCGGGATTTCCAAGGACGCCGTCCTGACAAAAATCAAGACGTCGTTCCTCCTCCTCCACTTCCTCCTCCTCCTCCGTCTTCCTCCCTCTGCCTTCCCCATCAGTCCTCCTCCTCCCCCTCCTCCTCAATCCTCCTCCTCCCTCCCCCTCCCCCCTCCCCTCCCCCCTCCCCCTCCCCCTCCTCCATCCCTTGGCCTTCTAAATAATTTCTCCCCGCCGTACCCCGAGGCCAGTTTTTTAGGGCGGTCCCGTCGCACCCCAAGGCCAGTTGTTTAGGGCGGTCCGGGCGTTTCGCCTGAAACTTCCTCGCCGCTTCTGACCCTGAAGCTGAAATGTTGACAGCAGTATCACAAATGGAGGGCGGGTTTTCAACATGTGGCTGCCTTAGCGCCGCGCGGATTCAGGACGGTTCCGTTTCAAGATGTGGCTCTCGCCTTCGCACCGCGCACATTTTTTGATATTTGCAAGAGTTTAGCAGATTGAGGGCGTTTTATTTTCGAAATGTGGACTCTCGCTCTAGCGCCGCGCACATTCGTTTGTAACCGTTGTAAGAGCTTCACGGGTTCCCATGATCAGCGTACCAGAAATGGTGTTCTGGAAGGATTCAGGCTTATGAGGGCACAAGAGTTACGTTGATTCGCGGTGCTGAACTCCCAGGAATTGTGTCCTGGCGCGATTCAAGATCGTCAAGACACAACTGTCAACTTGATCCGTGGCGTTGGAATCCCGACAACAATGTTTTGGCATGCTTCAGGGTCTTCAAACGATTGTCTTC